TCAACCTGTGTCGGGGTCAATCACACTCATAATATCTATAACCATCATGTTGTGTCAACCTGTGTCGGGGTCAATCACACTCATAGTATCTATAACCATTATGTTGTGTCAACCTGTGTCGTGGTCAATCACACTCATAATATCTATAACCATTATGTTGTGTCAACCTGTGTCGGGGTCAATCACACTCATAATATCTATAACCATTATGTTGTGTCAACCTGTGTCGGGGTCAATCACACTCATAATATCTATAACCATTATGTTGTGTCAACCTGTGTCGGGGTCAATCACACTCATAATATCTATAACCATTATGTTGTGTCAACCTGTGTCGGGGTCAATCACACTCATAATATCTATAACCATTATGTTGTGTCAACCTGTGTCGGGGTCAATCACACTCATAATATCTATAACCATTATACTGATATGTCAACGTGGGTGGGCAATGTCATACTATCTATAACCATTATATTTATGTGTCAATCTGTGTGGGCAATCAGTCATAATATCTACAACCATTATACTGATATGTCATTGTGTGTGGGCAATCAGTCATAATATCTATAACCATTATACTGACATGTCAATATGTGTGGGCAATCAGTCATAATATCTATAACCATTATACTGATGTGTCAATCTGTGTGGGCAATCGGTCATAATATCTATAACCATTATACTGATGTGTCATTATGTGTGGGCAATCAGTCATAATATCTATAACCATTATACTGATATGTCAACGTGGGTGGGCAATGTCATACTATCTATAACCATTATACTGATATGTCAATCTGTGTGGGCAATCGGTCATAATATCTATAACCATTATACTGATGTTTCATTATGTGTGGGCAATCAGTCATAATATCTATAACCATTATACTGACATGTCAATATGTGTGGGCAATCAGTCATAATATCTATAACCATTATACTGATGTGTCAATCTGTGTGGGCAATCAGTCATAATATCTATAACCATTATATTTATGTGTCAATCTGTGTGGGCAATTAGTCATAATATATGTAACCATTCTATTGATGTGTCAATCTGTGTGGGTAATCAGTTATAATATCTATAACCATTATACTGATGTCTTGATCTGTCTCAGTAATCAGTTATAACCATTATACTGATGTCTTGATCTGTCTGAGTAATCAGTTATAACCATTATACTGATGTCTTGATCTGTCTGAGTAATCAGTTATAACCATTATACTGATGTCTTGATCTGTCTCAGTAATCAGTTATAACCATTATACTGATGTCTTGATCTGTCTCAGTAATCAGTTATAACCATTATACTGATGTCTTGATCTGTCTCAGTAATCAGTTATAACCATTATACTGATGTGTTATCTTTATGTCAATTTCAATTTTTTTTCAAGAGACTGATCATCTACATTTTATAAGTTGATAAAACTTCAATTATTGACAGCCCTGAAGAATGGGATTTGAGTTTTACCTGTGTACCCCATTTTCCACATCTTTCTTAGCCTGTTGATGAAAACTTCTTTCTCCCTAACACCTTACCTGGCAATGCCTTTCTATAGAGTATGCACCCAAGTGAGGAAAGTTGTCTAAAAAACTAGCGTTTGAATATACAGCACATAACACTACCAAGCATATTCAAGTCTGGAAAACAATTATGCCCTGACCAAACAAACTATTCTCTATATTGAAATCTAAACCAATGTCCTTGACCTTGGTGTCAGTGTCGTCAAAATGACCAATGTTTAAGTGACTAGTAATGGTTGATATTACGTTTTATAAAACCAAACCTTAACACAATAAGCACTGTAAAGGGCTGACGGTTCATTGTAGGAGTTTGAAATATCAGGTTTAGTTTAGGAATTCTTTCACAACAAGAAAATATGAACAGGTGGGATAGAGTGTCTTGTCAAAATAGGTACACAATATATATTAGTGACTATTCTTTTAATCAGAATGTCAAAGGAATAGAGCAGAGCACTAGAAATACTTAGCACTTGACGTAGACATAAAACAAGGAATTGGTACTGGAAAATAAACATATAAATACATAAAAACAATGAATCACCTAACTTAATCACTACCACAGAAAAACTGAAAATATCGCATTAAAAGTGAGTTCAATATTGTGAAATTAGGAGCAAAAAATTGTTGTATAATTCTGTTAAGAAAATAAATTTTTTGACAGGTTGACAATAAATATCAGGAATGTTTGAAATGATGTCAGGTTTGGAGAGTTGACAAATGTTTTACTGCGAACATAGATATTTTTATGAAAACATTCATTTAAAAGTTGGACTTTTAATGTTTAGTCATTTAGAACATAAAAAAGGGGGCTCTAGCTTTTTATGTTGGAGGAAGACATCTGAGATGTAATTCTGTTTCCTTCTCATGTTATTAAAATGTTTAGTATATGATGTGAGAAAAGTATCACAGTGTTGACCATGTCTTGATTTCATACCCAATTTAATTACAAGATTGGCCATATTTGGCCTATTAGTGCTCTGTAAGATGATATATAAGACATGAAAAACTTACATAACTAATTACAAAAATGAAAACTTCCATGTAAAATCTGTTAAGACATGGAGCTTTAGCAGAAAAATATTACTTATTGGTTCAGAATATGGAGTGGAGTTGACCCCTTTTGCAGGCATTCCAAAATAGGGTGGGTCAGGTGTACTTATTTAGTTGAATATGGTTCATGTATTATTTTGTTCCATTTCAATGAAAGACTAATGGTGTGCATTAATCTGTATATTATCAACATGATGTCATTTAGAATTCTGTTATTTCTCAATGCCTTACATTTGTACAGAAATGTAGGAGTCTCTGATTTCTATTAAAATACATTGTATGAAACGATGTACTTTACAAGGTTAGGTCTCAGTGGAGGATCCATTATTCTTGGAAGAAAACAGTAGGAATACACAGAAACTGTATCAGAAAGGTTTGACTGTACATAGAACGGACAGATAGGGAAACACATATCACAGCAGGGAAATCCAAAACACAATATTATCATGATTTCATAGTATTTGGAGAAATTTTGCTAATTACTTATAACATCAATACCAAACATTCAACTTTAACATGAGCATAATAAAAGGTATGTAGCAAGCATGTCAATGTCCATTTGGGAATCACATTGAAAATATGAATACATTTGTAACTATCTCATACATCACAATATTGAAAGTGGAGCTAGCTCAATCTTTCATGTGTGGAATGTGGTGAGGAATACAGGACGAATTTAAAAAATGAAATAAAATAGTTGAAAAGGTTGGTCAGTAATGCTTGGACAAGCAATTTTTTCAAATTATTTCAAGATGAATCTAGACACTGTAACTTTGACTTGAATGCATGACAATGCTTTGCAAATGACATTAAGAAAAAATTGTCAAAAATACTTGTACATGATTTAAGCAATCAAACAGTTGAAACACACAACAAATATTTATATTTTGAGTATGCATGGATCAAATGGATTTATAGCAGACTTATAATGTTATAATTTCAAAAAAGTGAAATTCATTTACGAGTAAAGACCTAAAAGATGGCTAAGAAAAGTGTAAAGAGAAAAAAAATAATAATAAAAATATGGAGAAATAATAAAGATTTTTAAAAATGCTTTTAATTCAATAAATCATGTGTTTGTTTGCACATGTGTTGATAGTATTGATATCTTATGAAGTACACTATGTCCACATCTTATCAACTATGTATAACAATGTTCAAATCATTCTGGCATTATCTATATCACAAAACATAGCAGAAAAGTTGACTCAATCATGGACATTTGCATGTATATATGTACAGAACAAAATAGGCATTTTGTTTTCATCACAGATCACATAATCACGAAATTGACATAAAAATCAAAACAAAACAGTAAACCTTTATTTTTTTCTCTGTTACTGTAGTTATTCTAAAAGCTATCAAAACAACAATGGAAAATTCATCTGATAAAACAAAATCAACTACAAGTTCTATATTCTAGCTTCCAAAGCATTCTATAACAGTATTAAAATAGAGCTTCAATTTTCATAAAGGAAAGACCCAATAATTGAATTTTTATCGCAAAATCAAAATCATTGATTTTTTTTCAAAGCTGAACAAATGTGCTTACATTAGCATTCCAAATCAATTAATAATGAAAAATATGGTGATGCTAGCAATTTCCCGACTAAAGCCTTTTTGACTGTTTAATGAAAATGAAAAAAAGAAAATATAATTTTGTGAACACAAGATATTGGTAAATTGCACTAGTGAACATGTTTTGTGTGTGTCTGGTTATCATTTTAAACCATATACAAACTTTCTGATAACAAATCACAATTTTGGGACCTTTGGGAAATTGACAATTACATGTGTATAGCACCTAAAAACACAGATAAAAATCACTGAAAATCATACCAGTGAGGTGTCAAAATCATAGATAACTTTCGAGCAACACAGTAAACATCTTCGAAACTTATATTGTCATATTTTTATTTAATTCCATCATTTAATGATAATCTATATATGTATCTTTTATCATTTTTTAAAGATTTTATTTTCCTCTAAAAGATTGTAGACGGTGAAAAAAAATTAAGTAGTGCATGTATTTTTACAATGAACATACTTCAATTTTGATCATTTTATATAATCTAACATATTATTATTCTGGGATCCCAATAGCTATGAAATGAAACATTGCTGTGCAACTGGTTATTATTATTGTATGAATAATGAACTTCTATTTGAGCACTTCTGCTGTTCAATGAAATTTATAAATGTATCATGACTTGGAGAGAATAGAATCCTGAGTTTCCTCTTTTTATCATATTACATCAGAAATTTCATCTTCCTGAAATACGTCCTGTCTCAGTAAAACCTACTGTCAGCCAGGAGAAATTTCATTTTGGAAATTCTGAGGTGTACCCAGCCAAAACATGTGACTGGAATGGAATTTTAGAATAACTGCGGTAACAGATTTTGAAGCTATGAATGTACATTATTAAAGAATGACACAAAACTTGGATTCTTGTTGAGGTTTCGGTGGGTACCGTTCTCTGTTGTTATTACCAGAATCATCTGATTTCCCAAAGTTTTCCATACCGATATCATCTACTCCAGAATTCTTTTTCTGAACACGATGTAACAATATTCTGTAGGTCCCCGTTATACTACTCCGTGAATCTCTATGTCCTGAACCTTTCAAATGTTCTTCACCTATTCCAAGATCTTGTAACATGACACGAGCTTCCTTTTCATCTGAAGACAGTGTGGATGTATCAGATCCTGGCAGCAGGTTATAAGGTTGAAGGGCTTCCGGAAAATCCTGTCCATCCAACCAATCACTATTGCGGATTTCTCGTATAGAAAATCTGTCATGCGGAACTGGTTTCATGATACTCCTAATAAGGAATTGCCCACTGTCTGATATGTATGAGGGAATTATGTAATTTCCCTCAAGGATACACTTTTTTAATTTGGCTACAGTGTCTGCTCTAAATGGCATAACTCCAGTCACCATAAAGTACAGCATGATTCCTAGAGCCCATATATCCACATACACACCACAATAGCTTTCATCCTTAAAGAGTTCGGGAGCTGCGTAAGGTGGTGACCCACAAAATGTGTTCAGAGTCTGATCTATTTTGCTTATTGTACTGAATCCAAAATCACCAATTTTCACACTCTTTGGTCCATTGTAGAATATATTCTCTGCTTTCAGATCTCTGTGAATGATATTATGTTTGTGCTGCAAAGGAAAATGAAAAAAAAAAAAGAATTAACGTTATTTTAGGTTTTGTTGCAATTTTCTGATCCGTATAAGTATAATGGTACAATGATTTAAACTTGCTTTTTGATTGACTATTGGTTAAATTATGAAAGAGCGCGCGCGCACACGCACGCACGCACGCACCCACCCACACACACACATGTATTCTCAAACTATCATATGACTATTAACACAGAGACAAAACACAAATTATTTGACTATTTGCTATGACACTGACATTTGAAGGACTAAATGAATTCTCTACTTCCATTTAAGTATTGTTTCCAGAAAGGTGTGAATTTTTATTGATTGAAAATTGACCATCCCAGGGAATTACTCACCTGCCATTTCATAGTTATGTTGTGGTAATGGTTGAAAACAAATACAAATAGGTCAATTTATCTCATGTTTTATAAAGCATAATGCTGTTGGCTGATTAGACTCTTGTACATCTGTGACCTTCAAAGTGAATCAATGTGATACCTTCCTCAATTTTTTTTTTTTATAAAATGCAAACAATTCAACACCATCAATGTCCTTCCATGAATCAAAACTGGTGAGCTAATAACTTAATGTTGGAAGAAGGACAGAAACTGACTAACATTGGATTGTTTTGCTTAATTTCATTTATTTATTACTATATTTGTATTCAAATCACTGGAAGTATTGGTAAATATTTTGAGAAAAAAATCATATATTTCATAATGAGGAAGCAGAAAGGTAAAAAACACTGCAGTCGAATGTAATTTCCACCTGTAAGCAATACTACTTCTGTTGATGAACACCCGACATGGAACCAATCACAATAATAGGCAAAGAAGCTACAATTAATTAGAAATGGAGCGGATACAATGTTCACACAGATCTATATAATCAACATATTGCAGAGAGCTGTGGACTCCTGCTGATCAGAGTTTCACTGAAGATACTGAGGTGAAATACTGAGTTTGGTGTTATACCAAATGTACTGAATCCTCTTTGAATTTATATACAGACAAAATCAATCGCTTGTTCTTTATTAACTTATCTGATAAAATCTATGAGTGATTTGACGTTTTCAAAAATAAATCTTTGTAACAAGTAAAGAAAGAGAACCATGCATCTTGAAATAATTTCTATCAATAAGTCCAGACACCTGATCCATTTCTATTGACTTGGTTTAGATTTCCACTTTGATTCTATAAACCTGTCTACAGACATGCTCTCAGAACATATTACCAACATATAACCTACCGATCAATATTGAATGGTTACCCTTTTTAATTTAAATATAAACAGATTGTGACAAAAAATGCCTCCAAAACCCATCAACATCTCATGCATCACATGCTGTAATTTACCTGATAAACTCAGTATAATTGTTTTGTGGAAATTTATCTGATATACCTAAGGGTTATCCTAGAACTTGATTACTTTGATCTGTGGGACAGATTTTTGTTACTACATATTTTCCGATAAGAGAATATTTGGGCTATAAAAATGAACCTAATATTACAAAACAACAATTAATGGAAAAATTTGACTCTAGCTCTTCATATATACTTATTCCATAAAGGATAGAGACAGTGATCATATCTAAAGGACTTAGAAAGACATTACATTGTATCTATAGTTTTGATAGTTATAGAAATAGCAATGAAAATATTGTAATATAACAGAGAGATCACCAGAGAGCTGGTTGGGCACCCACCATTGAAAATTCACAAAAAGTTGTGTATTTGTTCTTTAAGAAATTGATCTGTTCCCTATTTTCGTTTTTTTTTTGCTCTAAATGACATGTAATTTGAACATTCCTTTGCAGAAAAAGTGGCAATAATCTATAACTGCTAAATCAAAGATGGATGCCTGTCAGCCATTTTGTTTTTCTAATCAGTCACAAAATAACACCGGTAAAACTAGGGACAAAGGGAAACCTATTTGAGAAAGATCTATCCAGTGCTTCTCAAGAAATAGCGCTAACAAACTTTCAAAGTCAAAATGAAAGATGGCCACCCAGTCGTCCCTATTATTTTTCTAATCAGTTCCAAAATAAAATGGGCACAACTAGAGACAAAGAAGAACCTACACATGAAATTTGAAAAAGATCCAACCAGTACTTCTTGATAAAGAAATAGCTGAAAACAAACTTCATTGCAATAATCAAAGATGGCCACCTATTTGCAATTTTGTGTCTCTGATCAGACCCAAAATCAAGGTTTTACAGCAGACAACATACCTGATACCACTAGGTAGTAACTGGGTACTGTTGTATAACAATTTTGAGACAACATATGATACCATATGTACTTTTATAACAAATAGCAATGAAAATATTGTTTATGAACAGACGATGAGGATACCACGGATTGAAAATTTCAGTTGACAACATTGATACCACTAGGTAGACAACTGAGTAATGTATAAAATTCACAAAAACAAGATAATGTGTGTTGACAGTCTTGCCTGATAATTCTATTCTTAAGTAAATGATGTAACAAACTTAAGCATAAAACTTTCTTGGTGTGACATTTCAGATAATTTTAAATGACAGCAGAGACAATCACCATACTGAGCGCTAGTGTAATATGGTTTGCTTGCTTGTTTTGACCATAAATACCATTGAAACAGTTCAATAATCATATTTACATGATGCTGTCTTATGCTGATACTAATCTAATCATACTATAAAAATATTCATTACCAACAGTGTCTTTAAATCCTTCAAGTGGTACAGCTAATTGTATTGGCAAGCTGTTGCTGGTTGACCATGCCAATAATGTTAGCATACCTTAACTCACACTTGGTTCTAGTTAGATCATATTTTGTAAAGGTTATGCAAACAGTGTTGATACTTGAACAATGCAATGTAGCTTGACCTTTTGGCAAATTACATGAGACCTGATATCACTAGGACGTCACTGGATACTGTTGTATAACAAGGTTTTACTGCAGACAACATACCTGATACCACTAGGTAGTCGCTGGATACTGTTATATAACAAGGTTTTACAGCAGACAACATACCTGATACCACTATGTAGTCGCTGGATACTGGCATATAACAAGGTTTTACAGCAGACAACATACCTAATGCCACTAGGTAGTCACTGGATACTGTTGTATAACAAGGTTTTACAGCAGACAACATACCTGATACCACTCGGTAGTCACTGGATACTGTTGTATAACAAGGTTTTACAGCAGACAACATACCTGATACCACTAGGTAGTAACTGGATACTGTTGTATAACAAGGTTTTACAGCAGACAACATACCTGATACCACTAGGTAGTAACTGGATACTGTTATATAACAAGGTTTTACAGCAGACAACATACCTGATACCACTAGGTAGTAACTGGATACTGTTGTATAACAAGGTTTTACAGCAGACAACATACCTGATACCACTAGGTAGTAACTGGATACTGTTGTATAACAAGGTTTTACAGCAGACAACATAACATCATATACTAACCATGTGTTCTACTCCTGCAATCACTTGAGCAAATATATGTTTGGCTTCCTGTTCAGGCATTTTGCCTTCGTTGGAGATTTTTGTGAAGAGTTCGCCTCCTCCTGCATATTCCATGACTATATGCAGTTTAGCTAGGGTTTCAAGCACCTCATATAGACGGATAATGTTAGGATGGTGAAGCTTCTCCATGCTTGAGATCTCTCTGGACAAAAGTCGCTGAGTCTTCTGATCCAATTTTGTTTTATCAAGGATCTTTATTGCCACTTTCTCTGTGGAAGACAAAAATTCAAACAGTCAGATTTTGTATGTATTCTTTAAATTCCAGACAAGTTCTAGAGTACTAGCTGACATATATCAGAAAGGCCCACCCACCAACCAACATTGTGTCATACCCTAAATCTGTGTGTTACATTGATACACTTATATTGAATGTTTGATCTTTGCTTTACAAATACAATAATTTGCTTGTGAAACAGAAATAAATATCTCAAATATGAACTTCACCTTTGATCAGACCTTAGGTTGGGCTACTTCTCATTTGATATCAACTAATTATGCTTTATTGTATCATAAACAATATTTATGTGTAACAAGAGGCCCATGGGCCTTAACAGTCATCTGACATAAAATACAAGATTTCAAATTTTGAACTTGAGAAGAAGTCGAAAATGTGTTTTCAAGATGGCAGACATGGCGGCCATGTTGGATTTTGGACCAACCTGAAATTAACAAACTTTGGTCAGGATCATGTCACAATCATTTCAGGTAAGTTTCAGCTCAATGAGACATGTAGAACTTGAGAAGAAGTTGAAAATGTTTACGACGGACGACGAACGCCGCCGGACAAAAGGTGATCGCAATATGTCATCAGACCCTTGGGTCAGATGACCTAAAAACTTGAGGACCTTGACCTGCAGATTTGTGACCTCTCATTAAATTTGATTTTAGTCAGTTATACTTCATATATGACATAGTAATAATGACCTTGACCTTCGATCACAAAAAGCAATAGAGAGGTAGCATTGTCAGCAAAATATCAATTGAGAAATTAAAAGCGTAATCATCCAAAATAAATTGAAGATATTTTGTAGAAACCAATTTTCTATCAATAGAAATAGTGACCATGACCTTTGACCTCAGGACCCGATAATTAATAAATGGAGCCCACATCTTCAATGTTGGGCCCTGCAGGTCCCTAATCAATTACTTGGATTATTATCACTGTGATAGCAATTCACTTCAACAAATTTTCAGCAAAAATGAAGTGTATGTGATGTGTATTGCTGTCCTTGTGTTGTTTATATCAACAAACAGTTTAAGTAATACAAACATTTTCTTGTAAGAATTTAAGGAAACCTTAAAATGAACCGCCTCCTCACCATATTAAATGTGATTTATCTGTATATTCATATTTAACAAAAACCTGAAGTATACTTAAAGATATTTAAGAAATCACACAATTTAATTCTATGTTCTATTTGCCTCATATGTACCTACTAAATGAAAATACAGGACATTTCTTATCCTTACGCAATGTTTTTCAAAATTGATTTATATTTTATATCAAATTTATCATTGAAATGTGTTTTTCACTATTCCTTCATAATTACACTGAAATAATAAGTGATTAACACCACACTTCAGTTTATCAACTAGTAATCTTTAAATGTCAAAATGTGTAACGAGAGTTCATTCAAATTACACTGACTTGTGTTTTAAATAAACACCCCGATATTCATGACAAAACCACATGTGTATATAAGTTTATTCAAAAGGCTAACCTGTCTGAACCTTTCAATAGAAATGTCTATTCAAACCCATTGAACTCACCATTATTTCTACAACACGATAAACTATTAATAGGTTTGTACACACATAAATCAAACGACTGATATAACATGCTACCTGAGCTAATATGTAGCATATGAAGACAAATTTAACATTGTTTCTGATGTACTGTTTCCACCTTTCATATCTCTTTCATGAAGAAAATTAAGTTTCATTTTCTTGGAGTTTAAAACCTATCTACATGTAATCACAATAAGCTCATGCCTGGCAATACTCATTAGTATCCTTATTCAGGAGTATTACCAACAAATAATACTTCAATGACTGCTAATTGAATTAATTGAATGAGAAACAAGTTATTCCAATTCAATTAATCACACTGGTTGCTTGGATAGAACGTGTTAGAACTCTGTGGAAGGAAATCAGAGTACCCATGGAAACCCATGTGTCTAGTAATAAGCCCAACTCCTGACTTAGAGTTAAAGAAACATATTGTCCCTATGGGTTTGTTGCTGGATGAATATGTCAACTAATTTTTCCGACGAATCAATTTTGTTAATTTTATCACAAGATGGTCTCAGCCAACAAAGTGCCCATCTTGGATTTCAAACTTTAGTAAGTGTACTTCTGACATCACTTTATATCATTTCTTAGTTCCTGGTAGTATCACTGCAAAGGCTTCATTTCTACTAGTACAAAATGACTGAGATTCTCTTCAGTGCCGTACTGCACACTTCATTTGTACCAAAATTAAGAAATATCATCTGTACTCATGACACTTATTAAAACACATATTCACAATGAAATATTAACATGTGAAACTCATACATCTAATGGCATATAAACATTTGATTAGGCTCCAGTCCACCTATAAAAGTACAACATATATTTTTATCTTGTGAAACATAAATGATTGTAAGGTATATATTAGTCTCTAAAACCAATCAAAATTAGAACTTGTTCACATCCAAATGATTAAAGCAGATTTATTACATTCACAACCATCCGACTTACTGCTAATGACACCCATACACACAGTATTTCACAAACTGAATATATGGATGAAAATCCCAATAAAATAGATCTATTTACTGTTTGGCTAAATTAAGAATAAGAGAACCATGGCTAATATTACAGAAATTTCATTTTATATCAATCCATTCATTAATATCAAATGGAGTCGTAGCTGTTTTGTGTCCATTTTATTGTACATAAAGGGATGTATCAAGAATCACTCAGGTGATATGTCATAAGCTGCCAGTATCATTCAAAATCTGCTTTTGTTTGGAGATTATACATGAATAATGGTGATATGAGATCGCATTGTTTAGAGACTGTATTCAATGCCGTATTGCCATGAGTTGACGTGCTAAGCAACAGCACAACACCTGTGTATCAGATACACAATATGTTCTGAATGCCACAGGCATGACTTGTCAATCACTTTTAAATAAAAACATGAACTCTGGATCTTGGAGAATATTTGTTTTGGTTCAAGATATGGGACAAGTAAAACTACAAGTGTTACCAATATTTAGTGGTTATAGTCACTATTATTACCAAAGTGATTACAAACAATGAGGTCAAGAAATCTTTATAATTTAGACTTTGTCTGTTGCTTTCATGTAAGTTGTAATTTTGAGGTCAAGGTTTTGACAAAAATTATACAATCATTTTCATGGTATTTAAAGGTTTACATATGTCATGCCTTAAGATTTTAAATAACATTGTTTATGTAGACAATCATACATTGAGACTAAATCACGGTCTCAAGGTTCACCAGAATTGTACATATATCTTTTGTACGATTACTTAGAAAATATCTTGTTTAGAATTGTTTTTTAATTATGTAAAGACAATATCGATATGGTTAAAGATTTTTTCACTTAATAATTAACATGGAGTTTAAAAATACTGATCTAACAAGGAATACTAAATGTAACTAAAGTATTAGTGAAACCACATAGGGCTTCATGAGCTTGCAACAGAACCACGGGTGGTGTCCAACACATCTGCCTACAGCTCTACATCTCTGAGGACAATTCCAGATATCATGATATATCACATTCAAAACAAAACTAAACCATCAAAACAATACTAAACCATCAAAACAAAACTAAACCATCAAAACAATACTAAACCATTAAAACAATACAAAACCATCAAAACAATACCAAACCATCAAAACAATACAAAACCAGCAAAACAATACAAAACCATCAAAACAATACAAAACCATCAAAACAATACAAAACCAGCAAAACAATACAAAACCAGCAAAACAATACAAAACCATCAGTGTTCATGACTGGTAGATGTAACATTCTTCAGAAAAAGTTGACTGATAAATGTATTTTCATTTTGTAATGCAAAACGGCCCAAAGAAATTGATGGTAACAATAAATAATGCTGTATATCTACCATCAAAGACCACTGGAATTGCAAACCTATATCTCCATCTATAGTGGACACATTCTTCAACACATGTTAAACACTGTTAACATTGTACCAACATCACCACCAAAATAAATATTGATAAAAATGAAACACTTCAGATGGGATTTTATTGGACAATAAACTACTTCACTTAATTAAATAAGAAAAGATATCAACTTGGACCGTGACAATAAACACATTAAGTCATTATCTTATTGTTTACCTTTCTCAGGGTCTAGCAGTAGGACTGAACAAAGGTCACATACATTTAATAGCAACAGGTTTCATATTGTTTCCATTGATATCATTATGTGGTTTTTATAATCAATAAAATATTCCTCAAAAATAAATCCTATGCTCAAATAGGAGCACATTCTTGTTATCTGGGTCACTACAACTGAAGGTCGTTTCAGTTCTATAGGTATTAAGCACAAGTGGAATAGTTTTATTTGAAGTAGATATTTGTGGTAAGCTGGTCACAATGAACACTTTTTATGACCACCAAACAATAAATGAGTTATTGTATTCATGAAATTATACATAGCAAAGGTTAACAATACAATGGCTACAACGTGTATTACCCAAACATCAGAGCACCGTCTACTGAAGTACATGTATAACCTAAATATCAGGGAACCGTCTACTTAAGTACATGTATAACCTAAACATCAGGGCACCGTCTACTGAAGTACATGTATTACCCAAACATCAGGGCACCGTCTACAGATACATGTATAACCCAAACATCAGGGCACCGTCTACTGAAGTACATGTATAACCCAAACATCAGGGCACCGTCTACTGAAGTACATGTATTACCCAAACATCAGGGCACCGTCTACTGAAGTACATGTATTACCCAAACATCAGGGCACCGTCTACAGATACATGTATAACCCAAACATCAGGGCACCGTCTACTGAAGTACATGTATAACCCAAACATCAGGGCACCGTCTACTGAAGTACATGTATAACCCAAACATCAGGGCACCGTCTTCTTAAGTACATGTATAACCTAAATATCAGGGAACCGTCTACTCAAG